TATTTAAAATATGCGAGTAGGTTTGAGGAGTACAAAAGTTACATATGTGCAATGGGAGTGTATAGGTAGATATAAAGCTTTAATAGAGCAAGTCGGTAGTGAGTTTGACTTGTTTTATTAGAGCTTGAGTTTTGATCAGCCTCTTTCATTTTTTTTTTTTTTTTTTTTTTTTTTTTTTTTTTTAATGAGTAAAGCTCGAGCCCGTTTAGTTAATAATGAGCCGAGCACGATTCGATCATTTAACTTGTAAGGCTCCATAATAGGAATTTTTCATAATTTTTTGAAAATGCCTAGTTTAAGGAGTTAAATAACATATGGGATTCGACTTTTGAGAGTTAGGTATTGATGTCACATGCATATATATATAAAAAAAAGGGGGAAAAAGGCCTTTATGCCCTAAGAAAATACACGAGCGCTGTCTTTTGAAGCCACATCATTTTATTTTTTCACAGTCTTTTACACTTTTATGCTTCGAAAAAAAAAAAGAAAGAAAAAGAAGAGAAAGGTCTCGTCCCAAAAAATGGTATGAATCACTACAGAAAATAGAGTTTTAGTGAAGAATTTTTTTATCACTATATCAACAATTATTGTCATTATATCTACTGTCAGTATATCTACAATTGTTGTCACTATATCTACAACAATATAGTGATAACAATTGTAAATATAGTGACAGTAGATATAGTGACAACATAATGACAAAAAAGTTCTTCACTAGAACTTTATTTTCTTCTAGTGATTACAGATTATTTCCTTTTCTTCCAATCTTTTGACGGTCACGATTAGCCCTGATTTAGACGAGGGCTAGTTGGTTGCATGCAACGTGTCATTCGATCGGCAATTTGGTTGGCAGATCTTATCTTTGTGCAATTAAGTTGGTAAGCAGCTTGATGTCGCCTAAGTAAGGTCTCAGGTTCGAGTCTTTGTGGATGCAAAAAACCATGTTGAGAAACTCACCCACCACTGTCAGGTGTGCGACCCAGGTCAACCAACGGATTAGTCGGGGCATAGCTCCGGATACCGTGGCTGGCTACCCAAAAAAAAAAAAGTTGTAGACAAATAAAAATTTGTAATAATATTATTTCATGTCTTAAAAATTATATCTTTGTAGATAATACATATCTGAACATATATGTTTGTCAATTTAGCGCATACGAAATTTGCCATTTGTTAAACATACAGAAAATAGTTAACTAGTTTTACAAGATGTGGCATGTAATACAATTATTTTTTTTAATATAAAAAATCATTGATTTTTATATTCATATATTTTGATGACATTACTACTAAGAAATATTTAAGAACTTTATCCCAAGTTTTGCAAATAATAAGTTTCAAAATGAGAATATTATTTTTCAGTAATATACTCCACATAACATAATATGAATATATATATATAGAGAGAGAGAGGCAATTTCACGTCGGTGAATATATTCAAGTGTGGGCACTTTTGTAAGTTGTAACTAGAGTTATTAAATTAAAGTCCGGCTCGACTCAGCTCGTTATGGCTCGAGATCTGCTCGGTTCGTTTACCAAACGAAACCGAACTAGAACTCATTTAAAGTTTTATTTAGCTCGAAAAGATGATTTTAAGTATTTCTCTGTAGTTCGACTAGAATTTAATTCATTAAGTCTCTAGCTCGACTTGTTAATATTGATAAACGAGCCGAGTTTGAGCTCAAGCTCGCGAACAACATGAACTCGAAATCTGTTCGCCTCATTTACGCCCTAGTTGTACCAAAGAATTTATTAATTTGTACAGTATCAAATTTCCAAATTGACACGAAATCAATGCTATTACAACCTCATGAGACTGCCTAATCCTAAACCGAAACGTGGAAAATAGAGCAAATTAGACCAAGTCCTGTTGGCCCATTGCCAAATAAATTAGGAATTGATTCTCATCAAATTAATATGTAGTACTACATTCCTGGCTGTAATAATAGAGAAAATATATATAGTTCTATGCATGGGTCATCTTTTGCCCTTTGGTTATTTATGGAAACAATTTCCAGCAAATGCTACGGTCCCGTTACGGAACTATTTCGTCGAGATTTGTAACCTCGATGGAATGGTACTCTAACGGGACCGTAGCATTTCCCCTTATATATATATACAGCTTAGAAAAACACAATTAATTAATGTCAACATTTCACACAATCAGTTCAGTGTTGGACCATATATATGGTCACTCATTAGCTGTAAGTATATTCACTGCATATTGCATCATTTCCTTTATTTTTGTAGCTGTTTGAAAATTGCAATTCTTAATTTATTTTCATGAGGTTTTGTCTAATCAAATCGTACTAGAAAGTGGGTGTCGTGAAGCAAGTTTATTCTTTACTACTTGTTATCACCACGGTTTTAGAATGGGAAAAATGAGTTAAATAAAATAGTAGGCTAGTAGCCTTTCATTTGATCATGGTGATCTAGTAGAAGACACGCTTTTATTATTTGTAATTGAGAGAACTTTTACCGGTGCATTTGGCCGGCCTAGTCGCCTGGCCGAGTTGTACAAATTAGAGGCGCTCGAGCACCGCCTAGCGTTTAGGCGCCGCCTAGGCCGACTTTTAGAAAAGTGGTTTTCTATAAGGAAATATGATTTATGGGAGGAGTCAATTATTTTTATAATGTGAGTAAATGTGAGATGAAAAAATTTAATAAATAAAGATTATGTAATGGAAAAATCCTCAAAATAGTAATTACGAGATAAAAATATAAAAATATGTGAATGAATAAATAATAATATTTTTAACTCCGGTAGATATTATGTCAACCACAACAGTAGGCGTGGCCATGGCTATTCATTGATACATTATTAATCTCAACGCCACTGTTTTTTAACTCGCTCGACCGAGAAAAAGGGTTACCCATTCACGGATAATTCCATATTGCCCCCATATGTTTTTTTTTACCATTGATCTGCATACATTCATACACACACGTGTGTGGGTATGTGTAATGTGTAGGATCAATGGTAAAAAAAACACGTTGGCGCAAATGGATTTTTCCCATAATTGAGTAATAAATTCATAAAGTTGGCTTACAAAGTTATCATTTTTGTAGATGTACGAACCACAATTTTAGTCCACACGGGGGCATAGAGTCAAAAATATGGGAAATGCCATAGTCCCATTATGGAACTATTTTGTTGGAGTTTGTAACCGTTAGATTATCATGTAACCGTCAGATATAGTTGATCTAACGGTTACAATTCTCGACGGAATGGTTCCGTTTAGCATTTCCCCAAAAATATTAACTTCAAGACTCGGGTAAAAAAGACTCTTACGCTATTTATTAGAAAGGATCGTATGGATTCTGGTCTACCTCATAGATAGTTCTGGATTTATGTGACTAATGTTAGATATTTCTCATCTCTGCAAGATATTTCTCATCTCTGCAAGTTGGTGTTTATCAAGTATCTCAAAGACTTCTATAGCTGACGAGAAAATTATATACTTCGAATTTTGAAATCTATAAATATTAAAAATTGAAGCTAGAAATATGTGATTCGTGTAAGAAAAAATAAATAAATAAATAAATACTCCATTTTTATTTCAAATATTTATTTATTATTCCATTTCTGTAAAAAAAACATACTCCCTCCTATTATGTCATTTTGAAAAGTTGCACATTAATTAAGAATAATATTTTCGTCAATAATAACCTTATTTAATGAAGATAGAAATGAGTGTTTTGAGGAAAAAGTGAAGAGTGAATATGAAAAAACGTAATGTATTTATTAGTTGAATGAGGGTAATAATAATGGAAAATTTATGTACAAAAGATCTAAAACGACATTTATTTGACAAATAATTGATAAAGCTAGAATGATATTTAAAAAAAAAAAAATAGGAGGGAATACTATTTATTGAAAAATAAAATACTCTAGTGGCACTATCGTAATTTCAGTAGATGATAAACCTAAAGCAGGATCATCACGAATGTGAAACCCTGCTAGCATGGGAAAAAAAAACATCTCCTCTCCACTCCACCTATAAATACTCTTTACACCCAACATTTTCTTACCTAACAACCACAAGCACAACCCCACCTCTGTTTTTGCTCTCATCAACAGAGTTTGTACTATCATTTTCAAGCTTCTTCCTCTTTATTTTCTTCTGTTTTCTCTCTGCCAATTATTCACTGTATAATCAACACTACTCTGTTTTCTCCCCTGTTTTTTACTTACAAAAATGGCCGTAGTTGAAGAAAACAACTTCATCGGGCTATCCCTATCGCAGCTAATCCTGTCCAGCAATTCAAACACGCTGGACTCGATCTTCTCTTACTGCCATCAGCCGTCGAACCACCCGGCTACGAACCATGTCCCCGGGCCACTCGGCACCTCCGTCTACCTGAGGCAGAGAGATTTAATCCAGACACTCTCGAACAAAAATCATTCGCTCACGAGAAATCCGTTATCCAGCCCCAGCCGAGCCCAGCAGCTGGGCCGGATCATGCCGACCTATTTCAGCCCGAGCAAGCGGAAGCTCTACCGTGGGGTCCGTCAGCGGCACTGGGGCAAGTGGGTGGCCGAGATCAGGCTCCCCCAGAACCGGACGAGGGTCTGGCTCGGGACATACGACACGGCCGAGGCCGCTGCCTACGCGTACGACCGGGCAGCCTACAAGCTCCGTGGGGAGTATGCTCGGCTCAACTTCCCCAACCTGCGGGACCCGGCCCGGGTGGGGCTCGGGGATGCGGCACGGCTGGAGGCCCTGAGGGGTGCGGTGGACGCCAAGATTCAGGCCATCTGCCAGAGGGTGAGGCGGGAGAGGAGGGCCCGACGGGCCGCGAGGCGGGCTGAGGGCGAAGAGGAGGCCCGGCCTGGAATAGTGGCGGAAAAGACGGATTCGCCACCGTCGAAAGCGGAAAGTGGGAGCAGTGGCACGGATGGCGGAGGCAGCTCTCCGGAGTCGTGGTGCTCGCTTGCTCGGCTGCCGTCGATCGACCCGGAGTTGATATGGGAGGTTCTTGCTAATTAGGGGTATGAGATGTGTGTCTAAGGAGCATTTGATGTAAAAGTAGTCTGAATTTATATTTGAGAAGGCTGTGGTTGTGCAAAGTGAAAAGGATAACTGGGACGGAAGGTCAAGTGCATGGTTAGATTGGGGGCTATTGAGTCGTTGATCGGTTTGTGTTTTAGGATATTCTGATCATTGTTATTTTTCAGGTGTTATTTTAATATTAATCTATCTGATTTTGTTGAGTGACTTTATCGGGTTAAATATTTCTCATGATTTTGTTAGAGTTTATAGTTTATATAGGCCTACATTTTGTATTTTTTCTCAGTTCACGCTTTCGCTACATCACATTTTTAGTCTACCGAGCTACTCTTTCCATCAACCAATTGGTTAATGCGTAGGATTGCACCTATTTCTCCCGTTTTCTTATATGATATCAGAGTCACTTCTACGTGAGACTGTGTAGGCTTACCTTATAAACCTAGTGAGCTACTTTTTCCATCAACCAATTGGTTTTTGGATGAAATTTCACTTGGGTTTCATCTGGGCTCCCCCTGTTATGGTGTGCTTCACGTATGTGGGATCGTACTCGTTTTGCCCCCAAGTCGGTTCTACGTGAGACTGTGTAGGTTTACCTTATAAGTGTAGTGTGCTACTCTTCACGCCAACTAATTGGTTTTTGGGTAGAACCTCACTTAGGATTCATGTAGGCTCATCCTATTTATAATTAGAAAAGATAATACAAAGATCTTGACTAATAAGTTTAAACAAGTAACAAGACATAACAAAAACCATTTACATGCGCATATTTATTTATAATTAGAAATAAAAGGCAATACAAAGATCTTGACTGTGTTTATAATAATGAAAACAACTCGATAATTAAAAAATAATACTACGGTATTCTTCAAAGAGTTGTGCCGCTTGATGAAGGAAGCCATCTACTCTCAACTACCTCACCGCAGCTCACTCTGATTTCTGTTGTTCCTTCCGCTTCACGAGTTCTCAGTATTCCCCTGCCATCCTCCTTCGCGACCCATTTGTCACTGTCGTCGCCAAACCCCCGACCTTCGTCCTCCACTCGCCACTGCTTCCCTACACCCTATCCACTACCCTCCCACAGCCCTTATGTTCGTTGCCTTGTCGCACTACCAAACGCCACAACACTGGCTGCCGATTTGCCTGAAAAGCCCACCATGCTCTCCCACGTCCTCTCTGACTCCAGCTTCTCATCCTCCTACCCGCCTAACTACTGTGATTTCACCTACGACGCCCGAGACATGTCGACCTACTTGCGCACGCCCTCCCAAGCCTCTTCTGATTAGAGAGAGAATTTGAAAAGATTGTAGAGGATGAGGAATATATGATAAGGCTCCTTAATTAACTTTGCTTATCCAGGGAGTGTAATTATTTTAAAGGATCATTGCTCTAATTAACTTCCCTTAATTATTGTTTTCACAAATATTTTAAGACAATATTGCTCGTGTATTTTTATGCTTGTTGAAAAGAGTGTTGTGTAACTAAACTAGTATATAGCCCACGTGCGATGCACGGGACAATAATTATAAATGGTATGTATTAAAGTAATGAAGCAATATTGATTACTATAAAAATATTTCTGAATATTAATATTTTTTTTCTTTTATTTTGTGAAATAAATAATTTAATATATGAGATAATTTTATTTCACTCATTATAAATTAATTGTCATTTAAGAGTTCCTGTTTATAATTAAGGATACTGAAAAATTTAACATATTAATTATCAATAAACCATACCCAAAGTATATTTCCCTCTCTATCTTAATCTACTCATCCATTTTTACAATATATTCGTTCGATTTTTAAATAAGTTATACTAAAGAAAAAAAAAATTATGGCAAATATTATAACCAACACTTAATTGAAAAAAATTAAAATATATTTTATATTGTAGTTAAAAGTTATTAATAGTAATTACGTCAATATTATTTTACTTTTTACTTAAAATTTATAATAGTGTATATTATAAATATTTTAAAATTTCTTTTTAATCTGTTAATTTATATTAAATTTGTTATGATATTGTCAGTCGCAATATGATTTTTTTTATATAAAAAAAAAATTATGGTTCGGTGCATGAAATCAAAGGATTTTTGAACTCCTTGAATAGATTTTTTTTGGTATATGCTTGTTATTAATCGAACATATAATTGGAGGATTTGTTGTTAATGTTGAGATACTAATTTTATTGTAGTATTGTGGAAGTTATATCAATCAAGATCTTTTTAATCGATTTTTAAATTTATTTTGTACAAATATTTCACAATGTTCTCACGTATGGCTAGATACCCTACAAAGCAGTACAACACATGATCATTTGTTATTAATAATAAAGATTAGTTTGTTATTAGAGATAAATATTTAATCGCTTTTATTGATAAATCATAAGATTCTAAACTAATCATCTTGATTAAATATTTTTGAATACGATATTAAATCGGTTGTGTTGTTGATAAATCAGATGATTCTAAACTAATCTCCTTGATTAAATGATTTTTGAATATACGATAAAAATATTTTGGTATATGATAGGTTACTAAATCAATAAGTTTTATTAATGTTGATAAATAAGATTTCATTGTAACCGTGTGATAAATATGATAATAAACTTCCATAATTGATTTTTAATTTTTATTTTGGAACTATATTTGTAATTTTATCATGCATATTCAAATAATATTTAAAAACAAACCTATTTAATAGATGTTTTTCCCAAAGATATGTTGTACGACTGGTTACCTGTAGAATAAGAAATTGCAATGATTCATAGCTAATATGAAGAATCAGATTTTTATTATCATAATTATCACAAAATAGTTTTCAAAATTGGCACCAATTTATTTTTATAGAAAGTCGTGCTATCAACCAAATTGCATGATCATGCACTTATAATTTGATTTTTATTTTTTATAAAAATCAATTAATATTTATTATATTTTTTTTAACAATAACTCAACATATTTCATTACAAAATTAAAATTATTATTTTAGATTATTCCATCAAGCTCTTTTTATATATGTGGATTTAGAATAAAATGAAAATGAAAATTGCATTAGGTAATTTTGGACGATTGCCTCGGTAATTTATCGGCCCAAGATCCAAAAGCCCATCTAATCTAAAGAGAGATAAGGGGACAGTGCACTTCAATTCTGCAAAACCGATACTATGACATCCAGTTCATAGAAAGGGGAAATAAAATTCCGTCTAATTGACTCTAAAAACATGGGGAACATTCCGCCGTCCGTCCTCCGCCAACCGCCGCCTCCGCCAGGCCGTGGTGGCAGCAAGGATGGCTCGCAGACAACCGAAGTAAACCAACCGATCTCCGAGGTACCCTTTCTTATATCTGTTTCTATCTTACTTTCCGGCATGATTATTCTAAAATCAGCTCATATTTATTTCGTTCTGGTGTTCCTCGTACTAGATGCTTATGTTTCCTCCAATTCGAATGATGATTTTTTCTTATGCAATTTTTGTGATAAATACTGAATTTTACTGGTGCAACCTTTCTGCAGTGACACAGTAAATTTTGTTTGAAGTCTCAACTTTTACAAGCAATTTTGCTCCCCATGACCCGATTTCCAATTTGTTTAATGTTGTCCCTAAACCGTATAAATAACGACAGTAGTGATTTGGGGGGGGGTGATAATTGCGTTTTTTGTTTGAAAGAGATGAAGTATGTAAGTGAAGAAGTGATCACTTCCTAAGGGATTAGTGTAAGATTTTTGTTTCTAACAAAGATGGACAAAAGTAATGTGTTTGTGAATGGATATGAGATGAAAATGAAATGGTTATAGCTGATTTGATATAGAACGAGCTAAGCAATGAACATTACTAGAGGTACGGAGCAAGTGATTAGCGAAAGTTTGGCTAAATTTCATTTTTAGTACACGGTCATTTTCCGAAAAAGGTCCATCATCATATAGGGTGTTGTCATCAATAATGGTGCACTAAGTTTCCACTTTTAATCAAAACTCGTACAATAGCTACTAAAAATGGGGATCACTTTTAGTACACTATCTTGGTTATTGTATGAATTTTGATTAAAGTGGTAACTTAGTGGACCATTCTTGATTGACGCCCTATATGATGGATCTTTTTCGGAAAATGGCCAACATAGTGGACCATTTTTGAAATTTTGCCAATGAAAGTTTCATTAAAAAATGTGTATATCTATGAGTGTACGTAATTTTTTGTAATCGAATGGACTAGAGATTCTCCAAATGTCTTCATTTTGTAATGTACATCATTTCATAATTAATTGCTGATCCCCTAATTAACATTGCAGATGATTCGGCACAATCCTGTATCCAACAACCTCAGGTCACGCCCTTACTATTTCCGGTCATGCAAAAAGATGAGACCCACCGACATTTCATCCCTCCCGGACGAGATTGTGTTCAAAATCCTCCTTCACCTACCGGCACAAGACATCTTTAACGTGGCCCGGCTCGTTTGTCCTCAGTGGTACCGCATGATCCACTCCATCGACTTCATACACGAGCACCTCCACCGTTCGCCCCCCGGCCTCCTCATCCAAAACATAGAGGACAAAACTGCCCAGAGGAGCCCAATTTTCGCTTGCGTAGACCGAGGCCAAATCGAGATCTCGAAGCTCGACTACAAGTTCAGGGACGCGGTCTGGACGAGCTGCCATGGGCTGATACTGGAGGGCGATCTCAAGGCCCGTTTTACGATTATTGCTGCAAATCCCGCCACGAAACAACACTTTTCGGTCCCCACTCACGAGTACCACATAGACGACAGGTGGCACACCGGCTTGGGATATGCCCCAGCCTCCATGGAGTACAAAGTGGTCCACACGTTCGACTCAGATTTTTACGTGTTGACTTTGGGAGTGGACGATGTGTGGAGGCGGGTCGAGTGTGGGCACCTGACCCGATCTGCCCAGAAGCTTCTCAGCCGTTCAACTCCGCTGGTGACGGAGGGCTATATGCATTGGGTCCACCCGGAGAAGAATCTTGTGGTGATGCTCGATTTGGAGACAGAGGCCTTCAGGCAGTTGCGGTGCCCGCCTGGTAAGAAGAGGGCAAACTGTGGTTTTTTGGTGGGTGACTCACTTACTTGTTTTACTATGCGCGGGTGGTTCTCATGGGGGGTCTGGGAGCTGAGGCCGGGCACAGGGGAGTGGAAGAAGCTTCCTGGGATTGAGTTGGGAGGTCGAGCTCAGGAGCTCGAGAATTTGTGTGGAAAAAAGGGGTGTGATTGTGATTGGGGTCTTAGTGTGGTTGGGTGGATAAAGTACAAGGAGGTGTTGGTTTTTCGTGTCTCGTGCCCGTCTCGTGTTTGCATTGCGTATAGCATCCGTACGGGAGAGCTACGGGCTTTCGAGTTGGATTGTGAGGGAAACAAGCACAACTATCTGCCTCATAGGAGCAGCCTGGTCTGGTTGGGTGGGACCTAACACTTTATCTTAAGTGCTGTTCCATTTGCATGAGATTTGTTGTTGTAACTTGCACCTTGTAGTATGTGTGTTTTGAACTCGATGTTTGTAATTGTGTTGTTAAACGGCCAAAGTATGTTTGGCTACAGAACTTGTCTTCTAGTTTATTTTTTGTTTGCAAACTACA